TAGATAGATAGATAGATAGATAGATAGATAGATAGATAGATAGATAGCCTGACAGATGATAAGCAAATAGGAATAATAGAGATGTACAACCACAGCAAAGTTAGTAGTGGTACCTAAAGACCTATTTTGAAGAATTTATTCTCATATAGATTGCTATAATATCTTAATATAATAAATCACCTGCTATACAAATATTTCAAAATCCAGGACCACTTAGTTCTCAATTCCCTACATTCCTCCAAATTTTTCAGACTAATTATTTTCTATATGCTAACTGCAAAATTTTTATTTAAGGGCTTCCTTGGAAGGAAGTATTAGTTATTCCATTAATGTAATGAAAGACTAAACTATTAATCTTATGATACAGAATTCTCCTAAAGGTATAGGTGTGTGTGTGTGTGTGTGTGTGTATGGACATTGTTTTGACTTAAAAATATAGTTAATGATTTTTCCAATTTCATGCTAATATTTCCAAGTTACACAAAGTATGCTAAAGAGCATTGCCACTTCAAATCCCTTTTTTCTTGAAGTACATTGTATTGTTATTTCTTCTTTATTTAGAATATCAAAACTTTTTCTGAGATTATTTTCTAATAAGACTTGTTTCCATCTGATTGCTCTTCTAAATCTCTTGCAATCATAACACTGCATTATAAAGGCAGCTCTGTATCAGAAAACTCCCAACACATGCAGCCCACACTGTGCACAGTAAAACTAGAAATTTACATGAACTATCTTCAGCTGGTTTCTCAAGTGACAGAGAAAATGCATTCCGGAATGTTTGATAAGTCACATACAGAGTGACTTTTATAGCAAAGTCCATGTGACACTTTCTTAATTACTAATTAAGTGCTTCTACCTTTGGATTGTGTGCATCATGTACATCATATAGTTAGGACATTGTAGAAAAAGCAAAGATCCTCTAAGACACATAAGACTTAAGGAATACAACTAAATATCACACTTATGGTTCAAGTTCTAATCTGCTAGAGAATATCTATACCTTTAAAATATCATAGAGACTAAAAATTATGTTGAACTATAACTATGACTGGGCTATAGTGTTGCAATATTCAAGACATAATTTAAAATTTACTTTAAGAGGATCAGATGTCTCCATTAAAATGCTTGTTATTGCCAAGCAAGCATGAGGCACTGAGTTCAGATCCCCTAGACCTACATAAAAAAACAATTGTGCTAATACATTCCCATAATCCAGATACTGTGGAGAAACAGTGGGAAGATTGACAACAGGCCAGCTAATCAGGTTGCCTATAGATATCTGTCTCAAAAATGTGGGAGAGAGTGACTGAAGACTATACTCCATGTTTACCTATGTCCTCCGCATGCTTACACATGTATGCACATATATGTACACATAGGAACAATTACACTACACAAATTTCCATTAAGTTAGAATATTTTATTCATCAAATTTTATTATATGCAAAATAGGACTTTGCAAATTTATTTGCTAAATGTTACAACAAATTTCTGTTCTGCTTTTCATTAATTATTTTGAGGCAGGGTCTCTATTAGAGCTGGATAAACTCAAACTCAAAATGTATCCAATGCTGGCCTTGAACTTATGATTCTCCTGACTTCCATGTCCAAGTGCTGGAATTACAGATATTTATTGTACATGCCCAGGTTTAATTAAATTTCTTAATAATAATAATATTGATAAAGTATCACTAATTACTTTCTAACAATAACATCATGCTAGTAGATTTATGTTTTGAAGACAGAGGAGATATATTTAAACAAGAATTGATTCTACCCATTTCATTCTAGGAATTATACAAATAATACAAGATATATTCTTTTTGGGTTCATTTCTGGTTACAATGCAATGCACACCTTAGCACTCTACTGTGAGTTAAGAATTATTGTATGGTTTTCAGTGGTATTAGATAGTTAACTCCATCACTGAATGGTGTCAATGACAACCAAGTTCATGTCTGAATGAATTATACATTTAAATATAAGATATTATGAGTCCAAATAAATCAACAAACTAACAAATAGTTAAGAATGGTGCATACTTCATTTAAATGTATTCTTAGTGCTGAGGAAATGATGGAAGTTCCTAGAGCAAAATAAATTTTAACTTGTGAACAAGAATTACTTCCTGCAAATAGGATGTCTTCATCAGTATACAGAAAAATTATTGAATAGGACTCAGAGCAACTGATAGAAATTTCATTTGTCTACTCACCCACAGGAGACATTTCTGGAACACTAGCAACATAAGGTCCATCCAAAAACTTTGGCTCATTATCATTAATATCCTGCACTTTAATGATGAACTCAGATTCAGGCTCCAAGGGCTTTCTTGTTTCTATGTCCACTGCCTGAGCACGAAGTGTGTAGAAAGGTTTTTCTTCTCTGTCCAGACTTCTTATTGCATGGATGTCTCCTGTAGTTTCATCAATTGTAAAAACGGTCCCAGCACCATCTCCAGAGAGCGTGTATTTAACAGTGCCCTCTCCTTTGTCCAAGTCAGAATGCAACTGAGAAAGAGAAACAGAGACACTGAGATGATTGTATGCAGTGCAATTTATTTAATCAGAGAAATTATATAGCTACTTTATAGGCTCTCATTTATAACTACAACTTCTTGACTATAGAAATTAAAAAGCCGATGATGAGATAGTTGAAAAGTTGAGAGCTTGTTATATAACAGAGGACCCAAGTTCAACTTCTAGAACTCATGCAATGCCATATATAGTAGATAGCACTGTCTGCAATCTTAGCATTGCTATTAAGATGGAAGACAGAAACAGGAGAAACTCTAAGAGTGTGGAGATAAATTATAATTCTATACAAGACAGCAAAGAAGACTCACTGTTATAAATAATATGGAAAGTGCAGATAAACACTCAAAGTTGTCCTCTGACCTCCACACAAACCATGGCTTTCACATGCCTACCCCCATTCATTTCCATATGCACAGAAATGTTTTAAAAAATTAAAATAAATTTTAAATGCCCAAAAGTTTTATTTTAGTGCACCAGCTACATATGTACCTATATTTACTGACAGTTTTACATTTCATTGTTTTAAAATATTGCATAATCAATCTTATTTCTTCATACTTTGTAAATATCAGAAATTTAACAGTCCTTAGTATACCAACAGGCATACAAATAGCTGGTTTGAAAATTTTCTTTAGTAATTAAATATTTTTTTAAGAATAACATATTCAAAAAGTGGAATGAAACACATCTTAAGTAGAGGTATTGTTTCATTTCAGATGATCACTGTTTAAAAAATATTAACTGCAAAATACAAGTCAGAAACTCCCAAAAGACAGGAAGATAGAATCCAAGGACTGAGTTCAGCTAGATGGGAGGTAAAAAGAAATTATTGAATTGTGTCCTGAAGGGAAGGTGAATTCTTTCAGTGATATAAAGAACATCTCCTTATCAGAGTGTTCAAGTCAGTTGTCCAAGACTAGGTGGTTGGTTGGGAAAATCAATGAATGTTCTTTCAGAAAAAAGAAATAATCTGTTTCAGAAAAACAGATTATTTACTTCTATCTTTCTATCTTTAATCTATGTAAAAAAAATAATTCATTATTTATATTCTAGAAAAACTATGATTGAGTTAGCCTATTTTGATATTCAATACATATTCATGTTAATATATTATATCATAGAATTAGTTACACATTAAGGACAATCAAAGAGAGACTCAAACAAGAATATATTTGTCATTATGATATATTGAGTCATTATGGTTCAATGTGGAGTTCAAGAGTAATTGGAAGATGAATATAGCCTGGAAAATCTATAAGCCATCTCAGAACAAATGAATACATTAAATATTGTGTAAATGAAATATTATGTTACACATAAATTTGTTGATAATAGTATATGCAATATAAAATGTATTAAAAATTAAAATATAATATTTAATAATTTTATTTTAGTTTTTATTTATATGACATGTGTAGGTACATACATTTGAGTACACTACCTTCAGAGACCTAGAAGAGGGCATTTGGTCACATGAAACTTGAGTCAAAGATGCTTGCGAGCTGCCCATTGTGGGAATCAAACTAGAGTCCTCTGCAAGAGCAGCCAGCATTCTTAACCTCTGAGCATTTTTTGAGCCTCCAAAACATATGTTCTTATAAATTATGTTGTTTTTATTCAAACATTACTCAAAATACTGTAAACAGTTCCTTTGAGAATAGATATTTGGTTTAATTATCCAAATTTACTTTTTTTTAAAGTAAATTTTATTAAATTATAAAAGTTTCCATTTCCGCCCCTCTTCCCAACACCCTCCCACTCCCCCCACTCCCTCTCCTCTTCCCTCTTCGTCCCTTAGGGTAGTCAGGGTTTCCTGCCCTGTGGGAAGTTCAAGTTCCTCCCCCCTCCCTCCAGGTCCAGGCAGGTGAGTATCCAAACAGACTGGATCCCCAAAATCCAGTATATGCAGAGGAAACAAGTCCCAGTATCATAGTCAATGGCTTTTCAGAAAGACTTCGGGCCAGCCACATTCAGAGAATCCGGCCAAATTCCGAGAATCTGGTTAGATCACGTCCTCGTTCAGTCCCAGTCCAACTGGCCTGAGAGTATATTTTATTCAGCACATTTCTTAAAGGAAAGCATGTTATACTTTGATAGTCCCTGTAATTATTTTGTCTTGACTTTAAAATCTATATACATGCATTATTCTTCTCTGAAATATTTTGTTATGAGGACTTTTGCTTTACTAATGTTTCAACATGAAAGAGAGCTTTGAAATTATTTTCAATTATATGTTCGTTCTTTGATACTTAGATTTCTGTGAATTGGCAGTAAAATATATCACTGAAAAATATAATTAAAAATGTAATATCTGATTATATCTTTAAATGTCAAATTGAGCATTTCAGATTAGTCTCAGTATAATAATACCATTCATAATGTAATTAAGATGAATTCACTCATGTTATAAATTTGTATTCATACCTAAATTTCCTCTCAAATATATTTGGTTTTGAATGTAATTATATGAATTTATGAATGATTAAGAGAAATAGTTAAAGAAATAAGAAAAAGTCAGACTCTGTGATTTGGATTATTCTTTAAAAGTTTTTATGTGTTTTATTTCAGCATAAGGGAAATTTCTGGGAATGATGGGATGAAGAATTTTGTCCATTCTATTTTTTATACTGCTGTAAAGCATGGGGAATTTGAAGCATAAAAATCAAGCTGTAGAAAAATGTTCTTTAAACTTATGAATTTCAAATCACAATTGTCAACCACACTATTAAAGATATTCAGTGCAGTGGGTATTACTTTCACTTTCAAATTTACGTTAAGATATAAGACAGGCAAAGGCTCAATGCAATAGGGATGGCTTTATGAGCAATAACCAGTTTGCAATGGCTTAAAGAATACGTGAAGATATTTTGGGAACTGAGTGAAAATCTTAATTAGTTTTCACAGTGTGGTTCAAGTAAAGTTACCTAAAAAAATCCATATCATTCGATTAAAGTTAAAACTGTTTTCTTTTCAAGCTGACTTAATAAAAAAGCAGATATGCTGTGGTCCTATCAAAAATCAAAATTAAATTCAGTTGCTGCTATTCCTTCTTCTAACGTCTGTTATTAACCTTCTAATTCAATAATCTAGTCTTACTGATACTTAAAAGTCAGAAGATATACATTAAAAATGATAGAAATGATAACTGAAATAAATTGCTAAATTCCCAACTCATTTTGGTGGTGGATCACACAACAGGGTTTTTAAAATTATTTATTATTATTTTAGTTATACGAAGGTTTTGTCTGCATGTATGTATGTGCACCACATATGCTTCTGCTTCCCAGGGATGTCAGAAGAGGACACAACTCTACTGCAACTGAATTTATAGACACAGAGATGTGATCATTAAGTGGGTTCTAGAGACTGAAGCCAGACCTTTTGCAAGAGCCCTGAGTGATGTGATATCCTGAGCAATCTCTCCAGGTTCTGTACACCAAAGTGTAGAAGAAAGAGATTACAGGCACATACAGGTCGCCTAGGCAAGAGCTACCAATACTGTTCCACTCCTGATTGACTGTGGCATTTGGGCGACCAGAACCAGTTATAATGGTTTACCTAGTATCAAATTACCCAGTATTTAACTAACCTACATATATAAAAATTAATGACAATTGATATTGGATATTGTAAAATCTTACTTAGTGAAAACATAACACAATTTTAATGTAAAATTAGACAAGATAAATCTTGTCTTTTTAACCTGATTACAGCTTTTTAAATCATAGCGTCTCATTTTATAAAGACTATTGTCTCACTCTTTTGCCCTGGCTGACCTAGCACTCCCTCTGCAGACCAGGCCAGCCTCAAAGTCACATAGACCCACCAATATCCACCTCCCAAGTGCTGAGATTATGTCAGAATATATCATTATGTCAGCCTAACTCTTTATATTTTCATTATGTAAATGTAAAAAACAAAGTTGGTAAAAAGAAATCAATCCTGTCTGCAAATGTAATCATATAACTATTTCTCTGTGCCTGTATTAGATTAAAAAATAGTAGCCATTTTCCAATTACTAAAGCCATAATATTTTCTCAAAATATTTGAGGTTTTCAAAATCATGCTTTTAGAGCTTGCATTATATTCATATATTGAAATAGACTTAGTTAAAGTACAGTGCCAATTTTCTCATAAATTATAAGTGTGTATGAGGGATGTTGTTGGAGTGACATCTGCTGGGATCCAGCCTCCACAGGTTCATACATTCCAAGGCAGGGTCGTATGGATTAGGAAAGTCAGTCAAACAAAAGATATACAAAAGAAATAGACAGAGACACAGGACTACATTAGGGAGGTCAACGCAGTGAATTCTGAATTTGCCTGTGTTTATTTTCCATATGCTTTATATACCCACGTCCAAAAGGGGGGAAGAAGGCAAGACTGTTTTACCATGATGCAAACAAGGAACAAACAAAGTAATTACCTCTTCAATACCCGAAAGATCAAGTAACTGTATCCTGAGTTATGTATTCTTTTGTTTAGGCAGGACATCAGCAACCATACCTTAGCCCAAATATCCTGTAGACAGCCATTGCATGGGTCAAACCTATTGTCATAACCTTGAAAATGCAAGAATAGCCCTGATCTCTCTGACCTTTGGTCAGGTAGGAACAGATTTACTTACATAAAACCTGACAGAGAGATTATTCATTTGTGCTTTTTCTTGTGCTTATTTACTTAAAATAAAATGTAACTGTGAGGATAGGAAACGTGACATGTTTTAAGAATCTTAAGAAATGTTGTAACTTCAATGTTTCCAGCAATTGGTGTCAATAGATAAAGTTGTTTTCTCCAGCTTTCTGGGAATGGAGTTGAGGCTCAGTTTATGCCATGTAGTTAATTTTATGTCTCATTTCCATAAGAACTTAGAATGTCATTCCTCCTCTTGAATAGTGTTAATTGTTAAAAATATAATACTATACACTTTATTTAGTTGTCTGAAACTGCACACAAAAACTATTAATTATATA